TAGTGGTGTTATCTGATCTATAGGTTTGACATGATGTATATGACCTAGAAGCTGACCTGAACTACACGATCAATAGGGTTGACATGATGTATATGATCTAGAAGCTGACCTGAACTACACGATCAATAGGTTTGACATGATGTATATGACCTAGAAGCTGACCTGAACTACACGAACAATAGGTTTGACATGATGTATATGACCTAGAAGCTGACCTGAACTACACGATCAATAGGTTTGACATGATAGACGCAAACTGTTCTGTTTTGATAATTTGTTCACGACTTCTAGCAAGTATAAACACGTATTTAGTTACACAGGAAACACTGTGTTTCTAGACAGTAATGTAATGCCTACAGCTTATAACTATATGTTAAATACGTCTGTATGTGCAAAACGGCAGGGTGAAAATAAGGTTGACTTTCATGGATTGAAATAATCTAATAGGCTTAGCTTGTTATTGGTTGATGTAGTGGACACAAAATGTTTAAAGAGATGACGATAAAAGAATCATTTTACCTCTCTCACGTGTCATTACACTTTATTTTTGTTCAAAACATTCAACATTCTGCAGATGTAACATTTTAAGTGGTTTACTTTCTCATAGTTAAGATTTACTTAATATACAGACCGTCCGCTTTGGATCAGTATAATGTAGCGACATCTGGTTTACAGTTTTACAAACTGCAAGAGCTTCGAGAGGAAAGTTCGACGAGCACGTGTCTTAATTAGCAAATTAACATTTATTAAATTTACGTCAATTAATGGAATGTTCTCACTCAGTGTGTCTTACGAATGGAAGCTTTAGGGTTCCCACACCACCAGAATAACAGATGTCGAAAAATAGTTATACGAGTCTCATATTTCTATCCGACTTACACTACCTAAGCACGGACCCAGTTCGTCCAATAGCAGTCGCCATGATGTTAATTCCCATGTAGAGGGCGTTGTTTTCCTCGTCATTGTTGTTACTGTCATCTGGAGGAAGAATCCCCGATACAAGACAATACAATCTGGTGATGAATCTAAGCACTTTTGCTGTTGTCCCTTCCCCCATTTTAGGCCATTTTACCCCCGCTGGTCGTAAGACTCCTCCTATTCCTAGACATTGTTGACTTAGAGCTGCCACCAAGCGGCGAATGACTTCATCTCGTTCATCATCCGTCTGAAGTCCTAGTCTCGAGACGAAATGAATAAGGTATTCGACTGTGTAGCGTGTACCCTGGTGAAAAGAAATAAAATCCGTACTGTAATCAATATCAATACAACTGAACAAAGTGTTTCTACTTAGTAAGGATTAGTTACCGCACCCCTAGTGTGAGACCAATTGAAATAAATTAACGTATTTAGAAATTTTAATTAATTTTCCTTTATCTAATATAGTGCTGATCGAATGATGTCACGTTTGTTAAAATTTTACATAATATGCTCTTAACGACAAACTGTTTCACTGCAAAGTTTCAT